GGTTTGTGAATGGGAAGAAGGAAATGCAGGGAATTAACATGAAGACACAGAACTCAAATGTCCTGGTGCTTTGCCTTTTGCTTGTGAGTGATAGGCAGGGAAAAGTGTCTTGGATATAAGCTGGAATTGGAAGATCTAAGTCACACACAATTTAGAGCAGCACAGGCTGGCCCACTGAGTCAGGAGCTGTTGCTGTCCTGCCTTCACCCCATGCAGCTTTGCCATTCCCCTCTGCCCTTTCAAACCATAGATCCTCATGGGGGTGTAGAGCTGACACAGGCTGTCCAGGACACTGGCCTCATCCAAGAAGGTCATGTTTGCCATCCGGCTGTGATCCATCTGGTTGAACTTGGGTGGGTTCATCATCCACCATTCCATTTGTCTGCAGGACATTCTTCACCACGATGGCCTGCAGTGTTGGAGAACAGGAAGTAGGTGACATTATCCCAGATGGGTCTCCATGGACCACATGGGAAGATAGTCTCTCAGGAATACACCCACTTGTTCCAGCTACCCCCGCTGGTGGCCTCAGGAAAGGAGTCCCACAAGTTGGCTGACCCACAAAGCAGAGTAGGTCTGGTCTTAGATGTGATTACACTTCCTCTGGGGGCAACCTGTTGACCTGTTGGGGTCCTGTTGAACACATAAAGTAGAGCTTAGCTGGTTGATTACCATCCTCACCATGACTTCATTATCCTTTCCAGACTGGATCTCCCCAGCAAGGAAACCCCCTTTGTCATCCTTCACCCAGCAGAATGTCTTGATGCCATAGGGCTTGTTCATGGCCTCAGTTTTCTCCTTCTCAGGGAGTGCCAGGAGCTGCAGGATCCTCACACTTCCTTGTAAAGATGAGACATTTTGGCTTCTCTTTTAGGCAGAAAGTAGGAAAGAAGGGGATCAGTGCTTCCCACATTGCTGAGAAAGCAGATTGAAGAAGCCTGGAATTTCCTGTGCTGCTGTCCTGTTCACACCAATGGTACCTTCCAGTTCAATAGGAACCTGCAGCAAGAGGAACAGGCAAGTCAGCATCCCAAACCTAGGTGGTAGTTCCTAAGAGAGGCCAGAAAGCAAGAGATTAACTGGGGAGAAATAGGAACAACATTCTCATTTTCATTCCAGTTTTCTCCATTGTCAAGTGCCTATGGCTGAGAAGGGGGGGGGGGAGGCTTTCTTCCACTTTTTGTTCCTGAACACTGCCCTAAGGCCCAATTCTGGTGAGAGCAGTTCTTGGATGGGGATTCCAATGGGATTTTGGAAGCACTGAGGGTGTTGGTTGTTTTCTGTGGTTGCCAGAGCACTAAGTCAGAGCAACTGCAGGGCTTCTCAGGCAACCCCTGTGCAGAAGCCTCCTATGCAGTATGGGCATAAACCCTCTTAGTGTGAAAGGCTACAGCAGTGTGCAGAATAGCACCGATGGAGGCATGGCTGTAAAAGGGGCTCAGAGGAACCTGAAAGGGAGGACCTGGGTCATCATCTCTTGTCCTCATCCATCAAAACCCACCAGGATCATCCAGGAAAGTCCATGGCACATCAGCTTCTTGTGCCCATGTGTGGTTTTCACCCTTGTCACAAGCTCAGACCATACCACATCCCGCAGGAGGGAGCAGGGGAGTTGAAGGACATGACTCATATCCCAGGGCTTTGTATTTTGGGAGGCTTGTTCCATGTTGGGAGCAGCCAATGTCCCACACGCCAGGCAGCCTCTTCCTTCCCTCACCCACACATCTGAACTAGCTTTCCTGTTGTCAAGGCAACACTCAGACTGCTGATGGTGAGTTGGCTTTGTCAGTGTCCAGTTACCTAAAGACATGCCTCCTGGGGACCTGCAATACCTGCTCGACCCGTTGCTCCCTGCAGAGGCAGAGCTGATTTCATCACTGTGGGTTGCACAGATTAAAGGGAACACGGGCTCTGCTGTGGTTTCCTTTGCAGTGTGGACATGCTGCCCAGGTCAGGGGCTGCTCTTGGTTCCAGCTCTACAGCCCTATGATGACAGCCCCAAGCAATGCTTCGCGCCAGCCTTGTGAGTCACAGCCGTCTGCACTGGAGTTAGTCTGGGGTAAGTGGGAGAAGCCCTTGGGGGGTGCTGGGGACTTCTTCCCAGCAGGGTCTGGAGGCTGCTGCTTGGGCTGAAGTCAGAATAGCTTGGCACTGGTTAGGGACAGCGTTGGCCTCGTCCTTCTGGTGTCATTTTCACACCATCCTCCTGCAAACCTTGATGGTCTAAAAATGATGGGTGCAAGGACTCCGAGGCAGCAGGGCTGCACCTTTGGAAATGGGTTTCAGGGCTTCAGAAGGCCCTGGTGTAACACTGTCAATTGCAGACTGCTGCTCTGGGATGAACTTCAACCAGAAAGCAGGAAAGGAGGAACCTTCCTCCGTCCATTCCCCCTAAGATCAGGCAGAGATATGGAACTATAACAGCTTAGCAGTTGTTTCCCCTCTCAATCTATACAGGTAAATCCGTAGAGTTGCTGGTTTTACATGTCTGGAGTTGCAATGTATATTTAAGACTTGTCTCAGGTCTATGCTTTATCTGACACCTCCCTGAAATACATGGACTAGCATGGTACCTGGAGCACATCACTGAAATGGTAAACCAAGCACCTAGAGAAGATCAATGCAGATCATTCATCAAACAGGGTTTCTTGGGGGCAGGTCTCAGACCTTTCTGGAACCTCAAATCCTTTATGTGTCACCATCCTTCTACAAGGGGAAACTGAGGCACAACTACTTCAGTCTTCAGAGTTGTCCACCCATTGTCAGTCCAGTCTTTGGAAGACAAAACACCTCCAGGAGGTCTGTTTTATTCTGGCCTTTCAGTGTGAAGTCAATAGGAGTGGCTGGTGCTTCTCCAAAGGCAGCCCTTGACTGTGTTGTTTTGGTACCCAGAGACAATACACGTTTATAAAAGCTTAGGCATAAATGTAGTCCCAAAAGCCATAGGTCAAGGAAGTGGTGAGGCCATGCCAACAATTCCTGAATTTCATCCCCCCCAGAATCACATGGAATCTAATAAACTTACGGCTAAAATACCTTTGAGCTCAAGTCTACCTGTTATAAAATACACTTGAGTATAAAGCCAGACGGGCTTTAGGAACACTTCCAGGCACTGTCCTTGTCTCTTTCTACCTCTGCTTGCAAGTTCTACCACCTGATCCTTCCTGATCTCCTATCCAGACCTCTTCCCAGTATCCCACACAAGTACTTACCAGGCTAAACCCATGATCCTGGAAATGCATGTTTGCAAGGGCTGGCCAGGCTTCTTCCTAGCTGTTCAGAGGGCCTGAGCCAGCACTTAATGTTTTAAGAGACACCACATTCCTTATGGGTAAGTTCAGAGGACTCTAGCACTGGGAGCCTGCTTGAGAAAGCTTTGATCCCTCAGGAGATAATTGGGTAATGCTCTGTTTCATGGAGATTTCTCCTTGTCTTTCCTTATAGGGTGTTTTAGGAACTCAGCTGCTGGAGTATAGGGACAAGAGGCTGAAATAGAAAGACCATTGAATGAAGCCTTCATTCAGAAGCACACCTTTGGCTCTGCCCCTCTTGCCAAGGTGGAGTGATGGATTTCATCAGGGAGAGGAGCTGATCTTTGGCAGATAAACCACAGGCTGAATCCTTGGCAGGAGCAGCCACGTTGGTGATGGAACGAAGGTTGTATTTGAAAGTAATTCCTAAGCCCTGTGTTTCTGTGTCTTAACTGCAAACAGAGAGGAAAAGGCTGTGGTTGTGTCACAGTCATGCTTGTTCCAGTTGCTCAACTGCCCTGAAAGACAACTTCTTTATCAGCTTCAAGTATTTCCCTGCTCTATTTGCCTCAGCTGGAGTCTGCGATGTGGCTACCCTGCAGTATTGCCATTGTGGGTGTTTCAGGTGAATACACTTGGAATAGAGCAGGCAGATGAAGATAAAACAGCTGCTTTGAGGTGAAAATGAGAGCGTTCACGTTACACCCACCTCTTGAATTTGTACCTGACTATTCACATTGAAAAGCTGATTCTAAGAACTCAGCATGTCCCGTCAGGAGCAGAATAATACCACAGAAACCCTGGCCAGCCTGAGTCTGAGTGAATATTGGGAATTGTGATTAACTTCTGAGGAATGTATCCGGAGCAAGTCATGTTTTCTGGGCATTTGTAGGTAATAATTTCAGCCCTTGAATCTGTGAGTGAAGGTTGTCACCAGTTCTCACACAAATAGATGTGAAAGGCATCAGATAAATACTGGCTTCTGACCTGTTCACTCGTGTGTAACGTGCTCAAATGGCTGTGTTGCCTGCATAGGAGGAGCGAGCTGCAAAGGGAGCAACCAGATCCCTCTATGAAGTGAGGCAGGTCAAAATGGCAAACCTTAAATAGCTGCGAGCTCACTCAGCCCCTGGACACATCAGCAATGGGTAGGACTGAGCCAAATTGCTTCCTGATAAGTAGGATGCCTGTTGCTGAGTTTAATGAACTCTCCTTGGCAGTTCCCATAGCCCTGTTCTGTATCACGCCTGGCCACGCTGGTCTCCAGCACATCACTGCTCTGTAAATGCTGCTGTGACAGCCTGGATTGTCCCAGGTTCATCCAACCACATCCCATTGCAACCATTATTAAGGAGGTTTTTGAAGGTTCTCTTAGAAAAGGAAGGAGCCATTGTGCAGAGATGTGTCCTGGGAGCACTGCACAGCAAGCTCTGCACACAGTGGGTCATGGGGAGGGAGTTGTCTGCTAAGCAGGATGTTTGCCTGACAGTTTCTTGCCCTGACACGGATTTCTTCATCACCTTCAAGTGAGACTGAGTCCAGAGTCCAGCCTTGTCACCTGAAGGGATGGGGAGCAAAAGTATGTTTCACATTGGAGAGTGGTGTCCAGATAAGGGGCAAACCAGCCCATATAATACAGACAACATGGAAGAAAGGCTTTGGTCTCTCCCTCTTAGTGTGCTGCCAGGGATCCCAGGCTAAACACAGTGGCATTCCTAGTCACAGAGAAGGAGGTTGTAAGTGGAGGAGGGCAGCACAACCTTTGTGCTGTAGTGACAAGGAGCTCGGTTCAGATGCTGCCTTTCAGGGTTGCATTTCAGTAGCAGCAGCAGCAGCAAACTGATCTTTAATGGTTAGGGGAGGAATGGTATCCAGAGCAGAAAACTGCTGCAGGATCGCAGGGTTATTTAAAGGCCTGCAAGATGGGTTTGCATTTATTAGTCATTTCAAGAATAATGGTGGTTCTGTGCTGAAAGCTGCATCCTCGTTCTCAGCTGTTGTCTGTGCTTGTTTGGGGAGGATCAGTGTATCAGAGAGGTTTGGCTGTGCAGAGACACAACCAGTCTCTTAACCAAACAAGGGCTTGTGAGGCTCTGAGGGTCTGACAGGGACAATGTCAAGTACTGTCAGATCCCAGTGGGTGCCCCGTGAGTCACAGGTCCTGCAGGAGACAGTCTGTGCAGTTGTATGATCAAAAACTCCACGGGGAAGTGTACGTGCATGAAAGGCAAGTTCAAGTCTGCCTTTCTGGTGCCTTAACTTCTCAGCGCTCTGCTTTTCAATCGTAGCACTCTTTTAATGCAAGGAATGATGGAGGCAAAGCTAACAGCCCCAGAACTTCTGAAGGGGTGTTTTTTAAAGGAAAAAGAGAGGAAAAAGATCCCTTGAAACCTCTGGTATGTGGTATCAGACTGTTGGCAAGGTTGAGAATGTCTAAGCCATGGCACAGACTTCGGCCACTTGAGCTCATGGAGCGACAAAGAGCTGTGTTGTCTCTGCCCTAGGTGGACCAGATGGACAGAGGGTGAAGCCAAGTGTCCCACCGGGGTTTGGCTGGTCTGCCAGCAGCAGAGGGGTGTTAACAGTCCATAAACGGGTCTCTGCCCAGATCTGGAAGGGACTGGGGAGTAACAGGTAATGGCACCTGCCTGTCCCCTCCTGTCCATCCTACCTTGCTTCTCCAACCAAATCCTTAGGCTTAGCCAGAGACCATTGGGAGCCACAGCCTCATCCTGGACAGGGATCATCTCCCAGGCCTTGGCAATGGGAGTGGGCCAGCCTCAACCCACAAAAAGGCCTTGAATCCCAGCGCCATCCCAGCACCTTCCTTGGATCTGTCCCTTCCAGTACAACAAAGCTATCTTCAGCTCCTAAGATCAGGTGGAATGTGCATGTTGAATCCTCTTGTTAGCATTTCCTAAGCATGGCTTCCAAACAAAGCCCCCTGAATACATATTCTAAGCAAAAAGAAGCCCACTTCTGTTGGAATGTTGTCCTCAGCTGTGATAATCAGATGCTCTGGAGTGAGGTGAGTATCCAGATGCCCTCCCCACCAAGGAAATGGCAGCAGGAGAATGGGAGAGCTCATCTCCGCAGCCGATTAAGGTTTCCATGGACTCCCTGACACCAGAGTGGCATCCAGAGGCTCCAGACCCCATGATTTCTGTGGCTTTCCTGGTGTTTTCGTGGAGTTTCTCTTCCTTAGATACTTTACAAGCTACTTCACTCCTTTAGAGAGCACCTTTCTCCCACTGGGTGCCATGGAGCAAGATCACACATGATTTATACAAAATCATGTGGCTTTTTCAGTAATTCCAAGGTTTCTCCCTCACTCTGACATGTCTCATCCCCAAATTCACTTCAGATTCCTGTGTTCCAGTTCTTCGAGTTACAGATTCAGGGACTAAAAGAATACTTTTCCATTAGGAAGAAGAATGAAAAGTAGGATTTTTGGCCCTGGTGGTGAGAGTTGCTACAGCTGCATCAATGGGAGTCCCTTCGCTGACAGAGGAAATGGCTTTAATAAAGAGCTGTGATTAAGTCTGCTGTTATTTGTAAGTAATTCCAAAAACTGCTCCTCTAATCCCTCCATGGCTTAGAAGTTAAAATTAGCTCCTTAACGTTCAGTGTGGAGTTACAAACCCTGGCTTTCTGGGGCATCCTCTTACACTGCCCGAGGAACGTCAACAGCTGCATTTGCCAAGTGGGAAAACGCTCCCAGAACTCCAGCTCCAGCCCAGATGCTCTTCTCCTTCCCAAGGCTCCCTGGGCTCCATGGGAGCTTCCACTGACTCCAGTCCAGCTGATGGGATAATCGCTTGGAGTTACACTTCGTGGTGTTCCCTGCTTTACAAGCTGTCTTCCTGCAAGGGAATTCCCTGGGAATTAAGGAGAATGGAATTTCTTTCCTCTATTAATAAATAGAGATCTCTTCTGTACAATATCAGTGTGACTTTTTCTTCTTTTCCTTTTCAGCATCTACATTTGTGAGTGAGTGATCCCATTTCTTGGCTGGAAAAAGGCACTGAAGAACACTTTGCGTTGGGAAGCGCCACACAGAAGGACGAGCTTTCTGGTCCACGTAACCTCATGGAAGTATTAGGCATGAACAGTCTGTTTGCTCAACCAAATAACTTGAGCGGCAAACTTGCACAAGGATTATGGGATTGGAGATGTCCCACAGCACAGCAGGGTTCGTATTTATCCAACCCACTTCAACAGGCCACATTCCCAGGTTTTGGGGAGCAAATTAAGCTGCCTTTAAAACAGGCTTCCCTCCTCTTGGTGCTACCCCACCATAGAGCCCTGGGTCACTCCTGTACTGACCACAGGGATGAGGCACTGGACTGAGGACCAGTTTGGCCCAGCCTGCCGTAAGTGCTGGCAATGCACAATGTGATGCTGGGTAATGCATTATGTGATGCTGCTTCCCTCCCTCAGGGACACCTCTCCTCCTTGTCTACCAGCAATAGCAATCCCATGGCTGTTTCAACAGGACTGATGGAAAACCATACTTCTTTCTTTATTTCCATGGGTTGCTTTCCCTTCAAATGAGCTATCTGGACTGATGCAGCCCCATGGCTCCCTGGCTACAGAGGAACTGGGGAAGAAAAGCAGGGGAGCAAGAGAAAAGCAAAGCAGAGGAGGGAGAGAAAAGCAGGAGCACTGTTTTTGAGGCTGCAACACTAAATTAGGAGAAACAACAAGCTGCACCTTGAGCCTCGGAAAATCCAGCTGCGATGCTGAGCTTTGCCTCTGGCTCAGCACTAAGACAGGGCTACCAATAAATCCCTTCTCCCACCTTCTGCATGTCCTGATTAGATAGACTGTGACAGACGGGGGCTGTCACTTATTATGTGCTTGTTCAGTGCCTGGTACAATGCAGCTCTGATCTCAGCTCACACCCGTGCCTGCTGCATGAACAATAGCACTGAAATGAGTCTAATGGCTGGCCGTGGGGAGGTCACCAGCTGCCTGATGTCTGCCCCCCCACCAGGAGCCACTGCATCCCAACTGGAAAAGGAGGAATTTCCAGGCTCCATCCCTGCCACACTTGGGAATTACCCCTCATTAGCTCAGCAGCTAGTTCAGGAGTCCACATGGTTATTTCCTTGGTGGAAGTGTAACTAATAAGTGAAATTAATGTGTTGATGTTAATTTAATGGATTGCATTAGAGCTGATGGAGCAAATACACTGAGAGCAGACAGGCAGGGGGCTGCTGGCAGGAATCCCTACCTCTGCCAGCTGAGGTTCTCCTTTCACACAGGGATTGCTGCAACCACCTACTGGTGGAGCCTGGGCTGCCCCTGCCTCATCTAACCCCATCACAGTGATGCCACACACTGACATCTCCCCTGACCATTATGCAGCAAGGGTAAACCTATTAAAGAGACATGAAAAAAAAACAGAGGAGGAAAAATCAATGCTTTTGTCTCAGGGCTTAGAAGTGGTGCTTTCAAATCTGCCACCATGCACCAAAGCTGCAGTGTCCCGGTGGGAGCATGTTGGGACAAAGGGTGCCAGGGTGGGAGAGAGCAGCCACAGAGAAAACCTCTGGGCTGGAACCATGGCTTTTCATACCTGTCACTGTGTGGATTTTCAGCTTCAGCACACAAGGCTGAGCTCAGGGGACACTGTCATGTAGATTTAGGGGGTTATCTCCTTTCCTCTCCATTAGCTGTGATACCCTTTTATTATGCTGGAACTGAAACAGGGTTCTTTTTCCCCTCCAGGTTCTTCTCTTTGCCATTCGGCACATATCGATCTGCTCGTGTCCTGAGCATGGGTCGAAATGAGCACAACTCATCCTCTGCCTGCTAGTGGGGCTGAGCACTCGTGGTGCCACCTTTCATGCCATCAGGGACTGAAGCAAAGGCCAAGGATGGGGGTTGCTAATCAACCGATGCCTCTTTAGCTCTCCCTGGCAGTGACAGAGGAGTGAACACGATGGAGATTGTGCTTGGCAGGTAGAGAGGGAATGCAAAGGGCAGAGAGAGAAAGAGCAGCCCAGGATAACAATAAATGTCTCACAGCCCTGTTGCACACTCGTACCCTGCAGCTCCTTGGGCAAGGAGGGAAGGAAATGCCAGGGGCTGCCCCCACTTGTCTTAGGGTGTGATTTTAAGCCAGTGTAGTTAAATCACTATGAAAGGTTGCAAGGGTTCACTTATTTCAGCTTGAGCCAGGCCTGCTTTCACTTAGCGTTGGGTGATCAGGAATTAGGAGAACCAAACGAAGAGGGTGCACAGTAACTTTTGCACCAGATTAAGATGAATTAAAAAGCAATTGAAATGTAATTTTCCTGCCTTAAAGCAGCCAAGAAAGAAGATCATGCAACCAGGGGCGCTTGAAGCTTGAAGATGCAGCATCTGGGAGTAGCACAACTGGCTTTGTAATGCCCACAAAGAACAGATTCAGGCAAAGGTCTTCTCTCAAACCTCCCACCATCAGCTTCTGCATGAAGCTTCACACGACTTATTCCATTTGCCTTAAAGGGAGAACTGGTAGGAGCCTGAGATTGGAATCCAGGACTTAAAGCAGCCCTGCTATTACACAGTGGATTTCCATAGGTATTTCCATGCTCTGCACACATGGAGTGGGGTTTACAGGGTTTTGCTAACAAGGGGGATGGCTTGGAAGGGTTTGCACAACCCAGCTGCCTTCAGCACTTCTGAGTCCCCAGAACTACCCACAGTGCTGTAGCCAAGCCCCACTGTGAGGGGTTGTTTCGAGGGCAGGGATGCTGTTGTCCCTATGGGATGGAGCAGTGGCTTGGGCAGGAGGACAGGCTCTGCAAGCAGCCCCAGGATTGGTGTGTGATTGCTGTTGAATCATAGAATCATGGAATGGTTTGGGTTGGAAGGGACCTTAGAGATCACCTATTTCCTACCCCTTGCCATTGAGGGTCTCTGTCCCCAGCATCACAGGACATTGAATGGGTGCATCTCCACAAAGGGTCTGGCCACAGAGGTATGGGAAGGTGAGCAGCGTGTTCCAGCACCATCCATTCTCCTCCAGGTGCATCCAGTTGGGCATGGCAAGGGAGCAGCTGGAGATAACATGAGTGTCCTGGGAAGGGAGGGTGTATGGCTCCTTAGGGGCAATAAAAGAGGCAGCTGAGGGTATGATGGGGCATGAGGGTGTTGGGGTGAGTGGTTTATGTTCCTCTTTGGGGTTGTCTGTTCCTTTCTATCCTATGATGGGTGTTGGGCTGCTGGTGGGATTTCCTGGCTGTTTGGCTGGTGTCAGCATGGTGCACCTCTGCTGAGATAGGGGTGGAGGAAACTCCCCAAAAAGAAGAGGCTGTTTAGGATGTTGCTGTCCTTTGTTGGAGGGGAAATAGAGGAATGGAGGGTGAAGCAGAACTTGAGGACTTAATGCTGTGGGGTGTCATCAGCTTGAGCCAAGAGGTGCTCATCCCCTCTGTGAGCTGGGGGATGGCTGCAGCTTGGTGCCTGGGGGTGTTGGATTAAAGAGCTGATGCTGCTGGGATCCAGCCTTGCTGCTGGTGCAGGAAAGAGGACAAAAAAAAACACCAAAACCTTAACAAGATGGGCTAAGGGGAGCACTTGGAGGCTGCTCTGAGCCAGAGGTGTTGGCTGGAAGCCTGGAGGGAAGGTGAAGAGGCAGCAGCTGTGTGTGATCAGTCCTTGAGTGTGTTTATGCACAGCCTGGCTTTAGGGAGGCCTTGGTGGTGGCTGCTCTGCAAACCCTCTCTCTTCTGAAGGGTGGAAGGCTTGCTTTTGCTGATGAAAGCTGTCTGAGTGCCTGCTCTGGGCTTTATTTGTGAGTAGCTCTGTGATTCTTACTGGGAGAGGCTTAGGAATTAATCTTTACTTGCTCCTATTTAATGTTTTTCACCTTACCAGAAGCTGGGTTTCCAGGAGAACTCTGCTTGGTTGAACTTGGTCACTTCATGCCACTGCATGTGACCTCGTGTCTTTCCTAGTGGGGCTCTGGGGTGAGAGAGTAGGCTTGGATATGGCTGCTTGTCCTTAAATCAGACCTTAAGATGTCCTTGGAGGCAAAAGGCCTTTGCCAGGCTTGAGCTGTATGTCTGATAGCCCTGGGGCAGGACAGGAGGGAGGTGGTGTTACTATAACCATGGAAAGCAGTGGGGAGAGGAGGTTTCCCCATGGACTACAGCAGCAGCTGTAATTCTTATAGCCTGGTATTAAGTGCTTGCATTTAGTTCAGCTCGGCTGCAGTATGTGAGGATCCTTCTGAGCTCAGCTTAGTGCAGGGAACCCCCAGCCTCTCCATTGCTGGTGGGAGGGGATGTGTGGTGCAGGCTGTTGGTGGGAGATAGGGGTCCCAGACCCCACTGTGGATTGAGGTGGAGGCTGCTGTGCAGTTGTGACCTGACCCTGCTCTGTCCTGAACCCCAGCAGCACAAGAAGGCTTTTGGCTGGCTGCTCCAACCTGCCAAGATGTCGCTTTTGATCAAGCACAATGAGAGGCTGAGGAAGTTCAAGAACAAAGGCAAGGACCCCACTGTAAGTAGCCACCTCCAGCACCCCCTTCAGACAACAGCAGAGCCCACTGGGGGTTTGCCTATAGCCAGGAGGTGATGGAAAGGCTTCTGAGGGGCAGTTGTCCCCAAACCTACCCGTGCATGGTGGCTCTGCACTGGGGATGCTCGGCCAGCTTTGGGATGTGGTGTGGAGCTGGCTGGGCTGCAAGGAGTGTGGGGAACATGAGCTTTGGGTGGGTGACTGGAGCTGGTTCAGCTCCAGCCTGCTGAGCTCTCTGCAGCAGTTATCCCTGTTATCTAGTATGGGATGTCAGACCACAGGATCTGTCAGCTTGCTTTAAGCCATTAGAGGAGATGAGGGTTTGCCTTTAAGGTTCAACAAATCTACTTTCAAATGCACCCACTGGTTCATCCAGCAGCTCGTGTCCTTGGGAAGCACTAAGGGAGAGGTTTTACTCTGTCCCATCTCCTCTATAACCCCCCCAGGCCATAGCAGGGAGCTGCCCAAGAGTAGATGGTGGTTCTCCGCACTTCTTGTGTAGGAAGCTTGAGGAAGGGGGTTACAGAGCTGAGCAGAGATAAGCTCCTTGGGTGATGCAGATACCAGTGGGCTGATGCCCATCTCCTTCCCTCCAGGCCCTGCGGAGGCAGAGAGTGGAGGTGACAGTTGAGCTGCGGAAGGCCAAGAAGGATGAGCAGATCTTGAAGCGCAGGAACATTGAACAAAATGAAATGGAGATGGAGAGGAATCTCTCTACAAGAGAAGATGAAAGACATGAGGTGAGTACTGGGTGCTCTGCACCCAGGCAGGATCACTGCTGCAGCTTGTGCGAGTTAGACCAGATGATCTGGGTTAAATAGCCAGTGCCATTCCTGATCTCCGTGCTGTGCTGGGAGTGTTTTACACTGCCTGACCATGTTATTTTGCATGGAGATGATGTCCTGTGTGGCTTCCCTTGATGGCAGGTAGAACAGGCTGGTGCTGCTGGGAGCTGGTGGAGCTCCTGTCTGGCTCCCTGTGCAGTGAGGGGTAATTACTGAGCCCATAGACCCGTTATGGTGTGTCAGTGACTCTTCCCCTGTGCTTGATTATAAGCATTAGTTGCCTTGAAGGCTTTTGTGGATTCTCTTCCCCTGCCTCATCTCGAAACTGCATTGCATAAAGAGTAGACATTGCTTAGATATGAAGTGGTGACTGACCTGGGTCTAGACAGCTGATTGCCTCTGGAGATTAAAGTTGGGGGAGCCCTGGCTTGCTTTCTGACTCTGAATCATCCCTGTGCCACAGATCATTCTCCTCTCCTTGGAGGAAATCCTTCAAGGTGTGAATGGGAGTGACAGTGAGCTGCAGCTGCAGGCCACGCAGGCCACCAGGTATGCTGCTGGGCTGCCCTGTGCTGGGAGGGAGGCGGCTGGTGGGGCTGCAGCGGGTTCCACTGGCAGAAGGTGTTTCTTCCTGCTTGAAGAGATGACAAAGGGGAAGGTGCCTGCTAAGCCCAGCTGCCCTGAGGAACCTCACCCGGTGCCTGCTTTGTGCCTTGCCTGGCTCCATCACATTCCTGGGCAGCACTGTGGACCTGTGTGGTTGGACCCAAGCAAGGGACTGGCTGTGGGTCCTGTGCCTGTGCAGGATCACATTGGATCCCACAAGAAATCAAGTGCCAAATGTGTGGGCAGGTCAAAGACCGGGGACCCTGGCTCTGGAAGGGTCCATGCTGAGCAGGGCTGTCCCTACCCAGGAGGGTAGGAAGGATCACAGGGTGCCACTATCGCCCAGCTTGCAGCAGGGATGTCTGTGGAGGGTTCAGGAGAGGCTGCATCACTGCTGGTGCTGGCTTGAGCTGCCACATCAGCAATCGGCCCATGTGCTATTCCCAGGGGACCAGTGCTATTCCCAATGGCTGTGGGGATGTTCTGCTCATGGTGAGCAAATAAAAAAGCTTTGCTTCCAAGCTGTTAACTGGGGAAGAGTCTGCCTTGTCCAACCTGAAAGGGGCAAGTGACAGCTAGGTCACTTGGGAAGCCTCATTTTAAATGCGAGCTCTGGCCTGTGCAGGGCCCCTGAGCCAGGGAGCAGCAAAGGCAGGCTCTAAGAGAACAAATAGCAGGTGCTGCTTTTTCCCTGTCTTAAACTCCTGCACAGCAGGAAGCGTGGAATAATGTTGTCATGGTTCCAAAAGTACATTTGAAGTATTGCGCTCTGAGTGCAACGCTTCACGTATCCTTTCCTCTAATAACCCTGCTGTTGCTTCAGCGTTGTCTTAGATGTGTCTTCTGCAGAAGCTTCTCTATGGCAACTCCTCTGCTGGAGGGTTTGCTGACATGGGATGCTGAACTAGCATCTCTTACAGGTGATGCTTCCCTTGCAAGCCACAACCTTGGTCCTGGCCACAGGGTATTGATCTATCCTGGAACCACACAGGGATTCTCAGTGCTGTGTCCTTTTCCTGCAGGAGACTGCTGTCCAGGAGGAAGGACCCCCCTATCAGTGAGATCATCGAGCTGGGGATCATCCCCAGGCTGGTTGAATTCCTCACCTATGCTGACAATGCTCCTCTGCAGTTTGAAGCTGCCTGGGCACTGACTAACATCGCTGCTGGCACCTCGGAACACACCAAGGCAGTGGTGGAGGGAGGTGCCCTCCCAGCCTTCATCTCCCTGCTGTCCTCCCCACACATGCACATCAGTGAGCAGTCTGTGTGGGCTCTGGGCAACATTGCAGGTAAGGAGAGGTCTCCAGGCCTGGGTTATGGGCATGCAGAGAGTCACTGCATAGGCTGTGCTGGGGACCTGAAAGTATTGGTGCTCTTCAAGGTAGCCTTGTCTCCTTGCAGCTTTGTCTGCAAGCTGCTGCCCCTATTAAACCTTGCAGTCCCTGGTAGCCTTTGAGACCCTGTGTTAGTCTGCAAGAAGATTTTGGCCAAGGGCAAGTGCAATACTCCATTCTGCTGGGCTGGTCTAAGCCACTTATGCTGTCAGTAGGGAGAACAGGATGGTTAACCTGCCACAAACCAGCCATGAGGGCACTCCAGTCTACCTGAAAGGGCTTGATGGTGTGTGGCTGGTGAGTGAGCCTGGTCACCCAGCCCTGGCCCGTGCCTGCGTTGCTGTTTGTTAACTGGCTTTTGACATGGGCAGATACAGTAAACAACACTTTTTCATCTGCACAGGTGATGGTCCTCTGTACAGAGATGCTCTTATCAACTGCAACGCGCTTCCTCCCTTGCTGGCTCTGGTGTCTCCTGCAACTCCAGTAAATAACCTGCATTTTCTTGACCTAACAGCTCTTAATCACTTGGGGAATGGGTGAATTGTGGTGATGCCTTATAAACAACAAGCTGTTTGTATGATGGGTGACACCCTGTCCCCAACTGTTGTTAATGACCTCACCTCTCAGCTATATACAAGCTATAGATGCCTTATAGCTTCAATGCTTTGAACATAGCCCCGTGGCTCTCCTGGAGCATCCTTACTGGGATGAACTTCATCAAATCCTTGATGTCCCTCTCTAGAACAATGAGCTGATAATACTTATTGGTGCTAATATTAAACAGCAAATTCCTGATTGTGTCTGAAGAATGTCCTGTAATTTGTCCAAGGACCCAGCAGATAAGTTGTTTGGCACCTTTGTTGTAGTAGCTTGTCGCAGAGCCAGAGCTGAAGTTACTGGAACTTAATACTGGGGAAGAAGAAGGTGAATCCAGTGTCTTAGTCACTTACCTGTTTTATACTCCCTCTTCAAATGAGCCTCAGCCTTTAAGGAGGCTGCTTCTGGCTCCTGGGTAACACTTCTTAGGTGCAGGGACCAGCAGCATGGTGCTACCTCTTCCTCACTTGTTACTGCAACCGGGATCTTGCACCTCTGTGTTTCAGGTTTGGTTCCTGAGGAACATCACGTGGACACTCTCAAACTTCTGTAGGCACAAGAACCCCTATCCCCCTCTGGATGCAGTGCAGAAGATGCTGCCAGCCCTCATCTGCCTCCTGGAACATGAGGACAATGAAATCATCTCCGACTCCTGCTGGGCCACTTCCTTTCTGACCGATGGCTCCAACGACCGCATCCAAGTTGTGGTGGATACAGGGATTCTCCCACGGCTGGTGGAACTCATGGCCAGCCCAGAGCTGATCATTTTGGTAGGAAACAATTGGCAATCTCCAGCCTCTGGTCCCTTAATGTAGGAACATGTAAGGAGAGGGAAGGCATGTCTCTTGCTTATATGTGGCAAGTGTGGTCTGCTGTCATCACACTGCATTAATGGCTTGTTTGTCAAGCCACTGCCCTGTTCCAGCTTTCTGGATAGAAACTTTAAGGCTGCTTACAGCAAAACCAGGAGGACAATGCTCTCCTTATTTGAAGGATCAAGCAGTTAGTGAGGAATCTCTCTGGACTTTCTGGCATGTATCCCTTGAGGTAAGGATTCTCCTTATCTCCCTTAATCTCTGTCTAGACTCCAGCTCTCCGCACCGTTGGGAATGTGGTCACAGGGACTAACGAGCAGACCCAGGCAGCTATCGATGCTGGTGTCTTGGCTGTCCTGCCCCATCTCCTGCAACATGCAAAGCCAACCATACAGAAGGAAGCAGCCTGGATGCTCAGTAACATCGCAGCAGGGCCTTGCTGGCAGATCCAGCAACTCATGACCTGTGGGTTGTTGCCTCCTCTGGTGGAGCTGCTCGATAAGGTAAGGGATGGGTGCAGTGTTGTATGTAGCTGGGGTTTGTGATGCCTCACTTGTGAAGCACTTGTTCATATACCCAAGCATGTCTTTCAAAGCTGTGGAGATCCTGGGAAGAGCTTGGACTTGTCCACATGCATGAAAGCATAGATCAGAGCTGCTCTTTGGCAGCTCTGCCAAGTGTTCACCCACTGCTCAAGGAGCTGGGGAAGGTGGATCAGTCCAAGCTGAATGGAAGGGAAATGGTTTCCCTCACCTTGCACTGATCTTAGGGCAATGCTGAAGCTCAGGGGTGTCCTCGCTGTGCTGCTCTTCCAGGGGAACTTCAGTGCTCAGAAGGAAGCTGTATGGGCAGTAGCCAACTTCACAACAGGAGGAACTGTGGAGCAGATAGTGGAGCTTGTCCAGTCTGGGGTCCTCAAACCTCTGCTCAATCTCCTTTTGGCCAAGGACAGCAAAACCATCCTGGTTATCCTGGATACCATTTCAAATCTCTTCCTGGTAAGATTCCCATCTCTTGCATTCCTTCTCCAAAAGAGCAGCAAGGTGTGAGCTGAATGCTCATGTTGTGTGGTTAAACAGCAGCTGCTGCTCTTGCATGAGTAAGAGGTAGGCTTCAAGTTGTCCAATATGTTCTTGGACACTCTTGGGTTGTCTAAAGACCTTGAGAAGATGCAGTTCCCAAAGTGCTCCTCTTCACCTCTATGACTTTAGTTTCTCCTTCTGGAAAGGCAGAGGGATTTTGTGTTAATCCCCGAGCTGGATGGAAGTGAGGGCCCTGCAGAAATGCAACTGCAGAGGAGTCAAGTGGTCCTGGGGGTATTTCAGCTCTGCTCCCTGCCAGCTGATGTCTATGTAATTGAAAGCCTGTTTCTTGTAGCACATTTAAATCAGGGCAGTGACTTCTGCAAATGAAGTAGTGGGTGGCAGGTCACATCTGCTGCTTCTCCATGTGTGGATTGAGGGACTGGGTAGGGTCTGGCTAACCATCAGTAATCCCAGCAGGGACTGGTGTTCTGTAGATGCAGTAGTCACATCCCTGGGATCAGGCAGGGACTGTTTCCCTTTGACTCCTCTTACAGTAAAGACCATCTCAAACCTGTTACTGAGGTAAGGGTGTATTTCCCTGCTTGTCTTATCTGACGTTATAGGCAGCTGAGAAGCTGGGAGAGACAGAGAGGTTGTGTCTGCTGGTGGAGAAGCTTGATGGTCTGGAGAAGTTGGAAGCCTTGCAGATCCATGACAACAAAATTGTCTGCCAAGTTGCCCTGAACATCATCGAGAAATACTTCTCTGGGGAGGTATGTGAGCTCTTGCTGTCTCTCACCTGGAAATAGGAAGCTGTTGTACACTGAAATGAAGCACAGGCTTTAAGGATAAGTTCTTGGAAGGGACCTCTACATGACTGGAGTAGTCCTTGCAGCTTGTGCCAGTTGCTTTTAAAGGTCTCTAAAAGCTCCGAGTTGTCAGCTGAGGAGTTGCACAGCAGATAGGGGTGCCTTGATAGTATCTTGCTGCTGGAATTCAAACTGGCATCAGCTGGAGCTATTGCAGTTGCTGATGTGAATACCAAATGTGGAGAAGTTTCCTTCTTCAGAGCTGAGCTGGCTTGTCACTATGAATGGAAGCCTCCTACTCGGCTGATAACCATACTCAGGTTGCATTTGGATTACTTGACCCTTCTCATGCAGACAGACGTATGGAAAAAGGGAATAGGACACCATGGAGCAGTTGCAGGAGTCCCATGACTGCCACAGATGCTGTGTGTGCTCCCAGCCTTCGTCTTGCAGATGGGGAAACGTGAGGGAAGAGGCTTAGTACTCTGGCGGATCTTGGAGCTAAGGCTTAGTCTGGGTATGAACTGCAGCAGCAGGGAGCAAGTACAGTCATAGAATAGTTAAGGTTGGACAGGACCTTAAGATCATCCAGTGTCTGTTCTGGTCCCCTGCCCAGAACAGGGTTTATGGGATGTCCCTGTGTGAGGGTATGGAGGAAGCTCCCCTACACATAGCACCTGCCCGAGGGGCTGGATGCCAGGGCAATATCTCCAAAGCAGTCCTGGCCTCTTGCTGTTCCAAGCAGGCTATTTAATTAGAGTGAGTTCTGCCACTCCAGCCACTCTTTCCTTCTGCCTTTAATGTCTGAGCCTGTAGACTTGGCTGCTCTCTGTGTGAGATGCAGGGACACTGCAGCTCCAGTGTGCTGTAACAAACAGGAGGACTGGGTCTGGTCTCCAGGGGTCCTGCTAGAGTCAAGCTGATCTCAACAGCTTGTTAGAGCAGCAGGGAATTTCTTAAAGCAAGGAAACTGCTGTAGGAAGGTTCAGGCAAGCTCTGGTGTAAAAAGCTTAGGTTTAAGATGCAGAACCTTTAACTGATGGCAATTGACTTCCTCCTAGGTAGATTCAGACCTGCGTTGAGTCTGGACTCTCATAGTCCGAGGTGGACTGTATGATCCCTCAGCAGAGAAGGAGAGCTTCACCTTCTAAGATGAAGCACTACATGGCTCTGAGCTGGTGGGTGGAGGTGTTGGGCATCGAACTTGAGAGGAGCAAAGATGCTGAGTCTTTCTACTGTGAGACTCATCAATAAATTGCACTTCTGGCTTTGTACTTCTTGCCATTGAGTTGGTTTTGGTTTTGTTCTCAAGTTGCTGTTGCAAGCTGTATAGACTCTTTCCGTAGTGTCTTAATCTATTGGAGCTCCTGGGCATGGTTTCTGGGGGTAGGTGCAGCCAAAAGCTTTCTGCATTAAGCTGCTTGGAGAGCAGAGGGATAGCAGCACATCCAGCTGGGATCTTCTAGGCTTGACTTGGCATGGCCGAAGCTGCTTTGAAAAGCTGTTCAAGAGGTGCTCACCCTTCTGCAGGTGAAATCACCTCCATGGGAGAGGGGATGCTTATAGCAGAGAAGGAAATCAGGCAGGAGCAGGTGGGTTGTGGTCATCCCTGTGTGCTACTCCAGCCTCCCTGAAGTATTGGGGGTTGGATGCTGTGTAAGTGCTTGGGCAGGAAGCCTGCATCGGAGCCAGCTCTTGCAGCAGGAGCAGTTCTCCTCCCACTTCAGCTTCCCAGATGCTATCCACTAGCCTGAAGGCCAATGATCTGGCTCTGCCTGGAGCTGTCCTTTAATGTTGAGGACTCATATTGCAGGTTTCCCTTGCAGGTCACTGGTCCTTGCTGAGAGGAGACCTCTCTTTGGTCTCTAGCTGCAGGCTGAGCAGGAGGTGAGGATGGAGGTGGTGTGGCTCTTGGGGCCAGCTTGCAGCAAGCTCTGGTGCCCTGTGTCTCCTCCAGACCACCTAGGGAAAAGGGAGGTGGTTAAAGCCTGGTTGTGTTCTATGCCCTGCAAGGCATGCACAGCCCTGCCTGTGTGCGCCAGAGCTGGGTATCACTTAGTTAATCTTAAACACTGGAACTGATGAATCACAAAGTGCTTCCTGCTTCTTTTTCCCCTTCTTGGATCCAAAATGATGCACTTAAAGCTGTGATAAAGCAATGCCTGAACATGCACCTGAACCCAGTGCCTGTGGAAATGCTTTGTGTGTGCCCCTGGGTTAACATGGAGGACTCTGAGCATCTTCCCTTGGCTGATGCAGCATCTGGAAATGGTCAGATTTCACTAAGTAAAAGGAATCTGAGGCAGGTGCTTCCTCAGCGTAAATGGAGATGTGGACCGGAGCTGGGCTTGGTGTGCCTGCCCTGCCTTTGGACCGTGGTCCAGCATGGAGCATCCCAGAGGGCTTTTCCAAGGGATAGTGCTGACCCTGAGTTGCTGTTTGATGATGCTCTGCTGACTAAAAGCAAGCTAAAAAAGGGGAAGCGCAGAGGCATTTGATGCTTGCCCCGCTTTCTTGCTTGTGCTGGCATAAGCCTGTAATAGAGGGTGTTGTGTGGAGCCTTGGGGCCAAAGCTGCTCCCACCATCATGTCCTCAAGCTGCAATAAAATAGCATCCCTGTAGCCCTGAATGCACTGGAGACAAAAACATCCCCTTTTCATAAGAGCTGTGGTGCATGGCTGATGTCCTGTGCTGCAGGGCAAGGGAGGGGAGGAGGTGGTTGGGGATTGCAGCCACCTGCTTCTCCCAATGGGCTGGTCTGGGGTATCCATGGGGACCAGCGAGGGGAGATGCTGCTTCCCCAGAGCAGCAAAACCTCCCTCTGGAGATGCCCAAGGAAAGGAGCTTTCCTAATGAAAGCATCCCATGTCCTGGCCCCAGAGGAAGCTTCTCGGTCCCCACAGTGCTGGAGAGCTAGGAAAGGTGCTGCTGGTGCCTGTGGTGGCCTCTGTGCCCCAAATCGGGTCCCAGTTAATTCATGCAGGTGAGGCAGGGTCTCTTTGAAAGCATTTCTATGCCTAATGGTGCATTTCCTGCCTTGCATGTCACCCCCAGGCACCCCTATTCACCCTCCATGCCTCCCTGAATGCCACTTAGCAGGTCACCTCCAGGCACCCCTATGCCACTTTCCATGCACCCTTACATGCTCCTTGTCATCCTCCATCCCACAGCCATGTCACCCCAATACACCCCCATATACCCTCCATGCCATAACTATGTCACCCCCAGGAACCCCTATGTCACCTTCCTTGCACCTCTACATATGCTCTATGCCACCCTCCGTCCCACATCCATGTCACCCCAATGCACCCCCTTATACCCTCCATGCCATAACTATGTCACCCTGATGCCCCTTTCCATGTCACCCCCAGGAACCCCTTTGCCACCTTCCTTGCACCCCTGCCTATGCTCCATGCCACCCTCCATCCCACAGCCATGTCACCTCCATATACCCTCCATGCCATAACTGTGTCACCCCAATGCCACCTTCCATGTCACCCCCATATACCCTCCATGCCATAACTGTGTCACCCCAATGCCACCTTCCATGTCACCCCTATATACCCTCCATGCCATAGCTATGTCACCCCTATATACCCTCAATGCCATAGCTATGTCACCCCAATACCCCCCCATCACCCCATGCACCACCCCTCCATCCCATCTCCCCTTCCACCTCCCCCCCACCAGAGGGCGCCATCCCCTCTCACACAGCTCCTACCCCCCCCCCGACCTTCCCAACATGGCGCCCCCCATGCCCTTCCCAACATGGCGCCTCCCTTCGTCTTCTCCGTGCCGCGCGTTGACGTCACCGCCGTCCGCCGTGCGTGGGGCGGGGGCGTGCCCAGCGCGCTCCCCGGGCCGGGCGGTGGCGGCGGCGGCGGTGGCGGTGGTGTCTGAGGGGAGCGGCCGGGCCCGCATGGCGGGGGGCCGAGGGGCTACCGGTTGAGACCGCTTCCTTCTCCTCTTCCTCCTCCTCCTCCTCCTCCTCCTTCTTCTTCCTCTTCCCAGCGCGATGTCGAATCCCGGGACCCGCCGGAACGGTTCCAGCATCAAGATCCGCCTCACAGGTAACGGGGCGGCGATGGTGTCTGTGTGTGTGTGGGGCCCGGTCTCCCCTCCCTTCACGCCGACAGGCCGGACGGCCTGTCGGCGTGAAGGGAGGGGAGACCGGGCCCAAGGAGAGTGGGGCAGCGGCGTGAGGGGAGGTGTCAACCCGCTTGCCTTACCCTCTCCTTCCCCCAGGCCGGAGCACCCTGCTCCTTTATGGGGTCTCCTCTGCACCTTCAGTGTGTCCCTCCCCTATTCCAGCAAGGCAGAGCGCCTTGTTCCTTCCTGGGGTCTCCTTTATACCTTCCATGTGGGGATTCCTTTTGTGTGTGTCCCCCCGCCCCGAGCACTCTGCTCCTTCCTGAGGTCTTTTCTGCACCTTCCTTGTGTTCCCCCCCATTCCAGCAAGGCAGAGCATATAACTCCTTCCTGAGAGCTCCTCTGTACCTTCTTTTGGGGGAGATTCCTTGTGTCCCCCCTATTCTAGCAACCCAGAGCACCGTGCTCCTTCCTGGTGTCTCCTCTGCACCATCCATGTGGGAGAACCGTGTGTCCCCCCCCCATTCCAGCAAGCCAAAGGACTTTGCTCCTTCGTGGGGTCTCTTCTGCACCACCCCTATGGGGAGACCTTGTGTCCCCTCTGTTCCAGCGAGGCAGAACAACCTGCCCCTTCCTGGGGTCTCTTCTGCACCATCCCTATGGGGATTCTTTGTGTCCCCCCCATTGTAGCAAGGCAGAACACATTACTCCTTCCCGGGGTCTCCTCTGTACCTTCTGTGTAGGGGGTTCATTGTGTCCCCCTTATTCCAGTAAGGCAGAGCACTTTGCTCCTTCCTGGGGTCTCTTCTGCACCATTCCTATGGGGATTCCTTGTGTTCCCCCCATTCTGGCAAGGCAGAGCACATTATTCCTTCCTGGGGTCTCCTCTGTACCTTCTATGTAAGGGGGCTCATTGTGTCCCCCATATTGCAGCAAGGCAGAGCACTTTGCTCCTTCCTGGGGTCTCTTCTGCACCATCCCTATGGGGAAACCTTGTGTCCCCTCTGTTCCAGCAAGCCAAAGTGCTTTGCTCCTTCCTGGGGTCTTTTCTGCACCTTCCTTTCGGGGGGATTCCTTGTGTCTCCCCCCATTCCAGCACATTACACCTTCCTGGGGTTTCCTCTGCTCCTTCCATGTGAGAAACCTTGTGTTCCCTCTGTTGCAGCAAGGCAGACCACCCTACCCCTTCCTGGGGTCTCCTCTGCACCTCCCATGTCATTGAACATTATGTCTCCCCTAGTCAGCACCTTGCTCCTTCCTGGGGTCTGTTCTGCACCTTCCCTGGAGGAAAACCTTATGTCCCCCCCCAGTTCCAGCAACCCAGACCACCCTTGCCCTTTCCTGGCCTCTCTTTCCCCAGGAGGATCCCTAGGGGATGGCCACCTCTCTCCCAGCCTGGTTTTCACCAAAGCCTTTCATCATTCCCCTTGCTTCACTGTAGTTAATAAACTCCCCCCCACTTCCCATGTGCAGAGGAGGAGAACTCGGTTGCTAATGAGACAACGTGCGTTTACTTGCTTTCAGCTTCTCTTTTGGTGCTTTTTTAGCTGTTCTTCCTCCTTCCTCACAACTTGAAGGCAAATCCTGCCTTCAACTTCCAAAGTCCCTTCCCCGAGCGAGAGGTGACTCCAACCGTAGTATGTGCGACGAGGCCTCAGTGAGAGTGCACCTATGGATAAGCCCATTTGTGTTGCACCCTAAAAGATGTGGATTCAGCCTCCTAGGAGCTGCTCCGGTCGATGTTTTAATGGGAAGAGACCCAGTTTCTGCTTCTTGAGGCTGTGGTATGAATTGTTAATGAACAAGGTGCAATCCAGTCTGTCAGAGGCAACAAGTGGATGGTGGAGATGGTTTGGGCTCAAGGAGCCACGTTGCTGCCCCTGGTCACTGCCATTGATCACATAGAGCTGTTTCTGCATAAAACAGTGCCAAATATTGCAAAAACAGCATTAGTTAAACTTCAGTTACAGGTTAACTTGCTTCTGGCAATCAGTCAGAAGCAGCTCTTCCCCAAAAAGTCCTGGTTTGCTTTTAATCCTTCATTTGATTCTGTGCTTTGGAAGACCAGGGTTGGGGAGGATCATGTAAAGCTGAAAATCCTTTTCTTGGCCATGAGAAGGCTGAAAATAGTGTTAGGTTGGATGGACGATGCTTGATGTGAAACGAGTTTTGTGGTGCTGGGTG